CCCCCCCCCCTTCTCTCAAATCCAATTTGGCGTGGCTTGGGTGGTTTCCGTGGTTTCCCTTCATGGAAGGAGAAAGGAAAAGAAAATCACAGTAGTAGTTTGACATGAGCTGTGTTTAAACTTCCCGTGGTTTTCAGTTCCAACACTCGCGAGTGATTTATGCCATACGTTTGTGTGTCAAAATCTGCACCTTTGTTTGCTTAATGACCATTTTTTGAAGCACGCTGAGTAGGTGGACTGTCATCTAAATCCCTCGTACTGTTCTTTTACGCTCATTATACTTAAAGTGCGTGTGGGAGGCATGCAGCTTTCCAATCACTGAGTCGAAAGAGGGTTTTTGCCCCTGCAAGTTCAAAAACATCAGACTAATGTCCTGTAATATTTCCACAAAGCACATCTGCCCTGCTTAATTGGCTCTTTGTAACTGCTGTGATCTCGCATTCAATCAATTTTCATAATTTGGGGAGGCGAATGGTGGAAACCTGTGTAAAAGCTTTTAAAAAGAGGGGATGTGAATGTGCGATGAACATGCTGATGCTGTGTTTGTTTTCTTTCATCGGTGAATAGTTGAATAGTGTCTCTGTTGGCTAAGGTCACGGTGAGACCGTGTGCTCGACACTAAGAGTGGTGAAAACGAGGGGAAACTACAAACTGTTGCACTTATTTTTATTGTCAATAAAAGAATTTATCATTATTGACGGGCTAAAGCTGCATCGGTAACTAATTTAGGATTGAGCTAGTTGACATGCACATGACCTCGCTGACCCTTTGATAGTTCGCAGTGACAACAACAACATGTGTGAATTCCTGGTTGTCATTTTGCACCAGTATATCAATGTGGATGTTGAGATATTTGGCTGGAAAAGTATAAACTTTGTCCTCTTGCTAAAGGCGTTCTTGTATACTACTAAATCCAGAGGGTCATCAAATTCATCAGGATTCCTCCACTCGGATGTATTGTCATGCATTTGTTTACAGAATGTGGCTGTAATCCATCCTCTAGACATAACAATCAAAGGGATTACGACCAATTCATTAAGTACACCTATTCACCTTAATCATATGAAAGCAACTCAGTGCGTTAAGGCATGTAGATATGCGAAAGAGGATCTGCTGAAGTTCAAACTGAGCATCGGAATCGGGGAAGAAAAGTAATTTAAGTGGTTAGTCTGAGTATTTCAGAAACTGCTGATCTACAGGGATTTTCCTATACAACCGTGTCTAGGGGTTTATAGAAAATGGTCTTGAAAAGAGAAAACGTCTAGCATTTCTCTGGGTGAAAATGCCTTCTTGATGCCTGAGGTCAGAGGGGAATAGCCAGACTGCTTCAAGCAGATAGTGAGGCGCAGGAACTCAAACAGCCACTCATTAGAAGCAGGGCATACAGAAGAGCATCTCTGAACACAGATAGGCTACAGCAACAGAAGAATGCACCAGGTGTCGGTCATGACGGCTAAGAATAGAAAACTGAGGCTACAGTTCACACAAGATCACCGAAGTTGGACAGTAGAAGATTTAAAAACATTATCTGGTCCAACAGGTCTCGATTTCTATTGCAATGTTTGGATGGCAGGGTCAGAATTTGGTGTAAATATCCCAAATGCCTGGATCTGTCTTGTTTTCTATCAGCAGTTCAAGCTGTAATGGTGTGGGGGATATTTTTGTTGCACACATCGGATCTCTTAATACCAACTGATCATTGTTTAAATGCCACAGCCTTACCTGAGTATTGTTGTTGACCATTTATGACCACAGTGTACCTGTCTTCTGGTAATGGCAATGCGCAATATCGCAAAAATCAAACAATCTGAAATTGGTTTCTTGAACTTGACACTGAGTTTAAGAGCACTCAGATAGCCTCCACAGTCACCAGATCACAATCCGATAGAGCACCTTTGGGATGTGGTGGAACAGGAGACTCTTACCATGGAATCTGCAGCAACTGTGTGATGCTTTCACCTCAATATGAACCAAAATCTCTGAGGAATGTTTCCAGCACCTCGTTGAATCTGTGTCTTTAAGAAATAAGGCAGCTCTGAAGGCAAAAGGGAGTCCAACCTGGCATTAGCAAGGTGTAACTAAGAGGCTGGTGAGTGTAATCTCTCACCAGCTCCAAGAAGATACTTAACACATCCTCTAAAAATCTTCATTCATTCGCTTGGAAAAAAAAGTATTCAGTTCCTCTGTTCTCTAAAATGTTGTAAACAACAGCAAACATATGCCTCAATGTTGTAGGTTTACTCAGTGGGCTTTAATGCAAATGCAACAGGGTAATGTTACAAGACATTTT